TTTGACTCCATGGTGATGTTCGTATTTTTGTCATGGTTATGCATGCTCATGCTTTAAATTTTAGTCCCTATAAGTAACACTACTCTATTATGAAGATATACCACTGTTATTACTGATGTGTGGTTAGAAACTGTTCTCAGGGAGAAGAAGTTACGTTTGACTACAACTATGTCCGAGTTTTCGGGGCTGTTGCAAAGAAATGTGTCTGTGGATCTTCTGAATGCAGAGGGTATATTGGTGGTGATCCATTAAATCCTGAAGCTGTTGTTCATAGTGACTCTGATGAAGACTATCCTGAACCCGTGATGATTCACGAAAATGGCGGAACTGGGATCTTAGCTGATGATACCATTTCGAATAATGGTAGAACTGAGATCTTAGCTGATGATACCAACTCCAGTACCAAAGGAAATAGCATAACTGGGATCTCAGCTAATGATACCATCTCAAAAACTGAAGAAATTGGTGGAACTGAGATTTTAGCTATTGATAACATCTCCAATAGCAAAGAAGCTGGTAGAACTGAGATTTTAGCTAATGAATATAACTCCATTATGAAAGAAGATGGTGGAGCTGAGATATTAGCTAATGACAACAACTCCAATTTGAAAGAAAATGGTAGAACTGAGGTCATATATGATGATAGCAATAACACCTGCAGTACCAATTGGACGGATGCTGTTGTTCCACGGGAAATTGCTTCTTTACCAGCTGGAGATGTCAGTAACAGACCTATTGCTGACAATATGGAAGTTAGTCACAAGGATAAAAAAGCTGTTTCCTCAATCAAGAAGTCATCTAGATCTATCAAGATGGGAAGGTCTAATACAAACCAACTTAAGGCCAGCAAACCTAGAAAACTGCTGCCAGGCATTGATAGAGGCCGCTTTGAAGGAGGTATTTATATTTTTTTTCATCCTCAAGTTTTGCTTTTCGTATCTGTTAGTGAGCTGACTGCATTAGTGAGCTGACTGTATTTCCTTATGCACCCAGTTGATGAGAAACTAAATGAGTTACTTGATGCCGAAGGTGGGATCAGCAAACGAAAAGTAAGTACTTTTTTGCAATATGAAGTTCTTGCCTGTGTAAATGATATCCTGGCATATTGGTGCATCCAAGCATTTTGGGACCAGTCAATACAGGGCTCTCTTGCTGGATCTAGATTTTCACTGTTTTGCCAGGGTGGAAAGGATTTGCTTGATAATAATATAGAGATCATTTTCATTTGACTCCAGAAATGAGTACTTGTGGCTATCATTTAATAAGTAATCGGAAAATGTTAAATGAAATTTAGCAGAGTTGAAATAGTTTCAACTTTCAATAGATGCCAATGTTGTTCTTAAATTAACATACAAGGAGCTGTTACTGTATTCTATGGATCTTTTCCTGTAGCTAGTTTATGTACATAGCAGTCTGACTTTTACTTTTCAACTGTAATATGAATAACTCCTAATTAGGAGAGAGATCGGAGACAAAATGTTATGTTGATCTAACATGAGCTAATTGTAATGACATCGAACAAAACAATGACAGCTTTGTGTTGGTCTTCAGCTTTTAACTCATGGTTCACAAAGTCTTCAGCTTTTAACTCATGGTTCATTGCCTTTATATCCAAGTATCTGTTATTTAAAATATAAATCTGGTACACAATAACAACAATTTCATCATGTTCATCATCATGGAAATGAGCATGAACCAGCTGAAGATGTATGTTTCTCATTTACTTATCAAGTACTCCATGCTGTCCTGGGCGATTTCATGCTTGCCATCATTGCTGTCATTGTTGCCATCACTCATATGTGAACTAATTTGTTTCTAAAACTTATGTGATTTTTTTGTCTAATAATATTGTCAAGCAGGTCTTTTCTTTCTATTTTCTTGTTTTCCATGCTGCATCATTAAAGTGCTGAAGTGATTAAACAAAGACACCATTCTGTATACAATATGATTGAGATAGAAATCAATTGATTGCACCACTCTGACATGTTCCGCTTGTAATTTGAAACATCATTCAACATTTCTAGAAATTGTAGCATGAAATGGGCATTGAAAAATCGGGTGCAGGCTTGCAGCATTTTCCACCCTTGGGCAAGGTGTGACCTGGGTGCACACCTGGGGCCAGCCTGCCCGAAAAGGGCTACCTATGTTAGGAGGGGCAGGTGGCTGCCTATGCAGAAGGCGACCCCCTTTTTTTTTATTTTTTCTTCTTGTCCAGCTCAAATAGTCTTGGTTCATGGAAGAAAAGTGGGATGAGAAAGTTATCTTGTGTGAAGACTCTAAAGGGGTTAGTTACAGTGTGATTCAATCATCATTCTATGGGTAGTTTTCCATCACAAGCTTCTATGCAATATATGTGGTGCATGCCTGCTACGCAATATATGTGGCAAGACATTATTGACAAGTATGCTAAACAAGAACTTTGCTTTGAATTGCAAAGCTTGTTTTGAGTTCCATTAATCCCGATCAAACGTCAAAACTGAATGATATTTAGCCAATGAGTCAAGCTTCCACCTTGACTTATTGTTACCGAAATGTAATACCTATTGATTGTTAGACATCTATAGACAGTGAAGAATGAGCAAATCTCATCTAACCATGCATCAAATGTATGGAATAACCTTGATGATGGCCTACCTCACAACATATAGTTAATCTATTGATGATTTAGGGTATGATAACCTCAGAAATTCTCTGAATTCATTGTTTATTTACGATATTTGTATCATATTACATCCATATGTTCTTTCCTAAGTTGCAAGAGCTTTGTTCTCAGGATGGTGCTTGATTTCTAGAATCTTTATCCCACGCGCACTGTTGAACCTCGTAACCAGTCACATCCTCTACTTGAATCCTTCAAAATCATCACATTACTCACTCCCTCTCCTGCTTCCAATCACGTTCTGTACAATAACAGCCCTTGCATATGTGAGCAGCCATAAGTGTATTTTACTCTTATAAGGGTTAGAACAATCTTAAGTTAACGTTTATAAAAAAAAAAGAGGGTTAGAACAATCCTTTTATTGTCCCTGCATGCATTTGTATGTATGTGGGGTTTATTTCTTAGAGTCAGTAGAAATTATTCTCCTCATTATTAGCAAGTCTGCTTATCATGGTATCGAAGCCAATGTTGGAGCTTGTGCAGAGGGTAAACAGGGCAAACAACTCGTTTTAGTTTTCCAAAATCTTCAATGAAATATTATATCCGGGATTATTTTAGATTTTACATCGTAAATAGGGTGTCAAGAAACCCTATTTCAGCATACAGTCGCTAATATTGCAAAATTAAGATTCATGAAGAATAATTGAGATTCGAATCAAGATTGTTGGAGAAGAAAATCTGTGTTATGGCATGCTGCACCATTACCAAGTAAGATTTTGAATCCACATTTCTTACATGTCACGTTGAGCGCATAGCAAATGAAGAAAACTCTTGGATTTTGTTTGTCACATTGCAAGTATATTCGCACCCTCATTGTTCTTGCTTGGCCGTCATTATTTTGCTTTACAGGATGCCATAGAGCGGCTGTCATGGGGGTGATCCAAGCAACTCCTATAGTAAGAAAATAGACGTTCGCTAATAATAGATTTGAGGTGAAGGGAAATTTACTAGCAATACAATATCACAAAAGCAACTGTAATGCTGCACTCAAAATGGGCATTGTATTGATGCTCACAAATTATATAATTGCATAGACAATTTTAAGCTCATGAACATTAAGTTTTTCTCACACAATTATAATTTTCTGTTTATGGAATCATACTAATTACAAACATCAAAACATTAGTCCCCAAAGAAAATGAACCACAGATCAAACATATATATTGATGTTATTACTTTTAAAGATTGAGAAAACTGAGAAAGTAATAAAAGCAAATAATGCGCAAGAGGAGAGAAAAGTAGATACAAAAGATCTACACAGAGCAGTACCGAGTGGCGAAAAGGCAATCTAATGCTCTTATCCGCAGCATAATGAGAAGAAAAAAACATTTTATTAATTCAAGTGACAACGTAGAGAGGACCGATAGAAAGTGGAAGAAGGAGAGAGGGAGTAGGTATCTCCTCCGCTGTTTTCCACGTGGAAATAAATATAGTATCACCTGTACAAGAAAAGCGATTGTGTATGATACTCCTGCCTTGGGGCCAGCGCTAGATTAGTTATTAATGGATATAGGTAATACTTAGAATTTTTTGTTTATGGTTTATAAATTTTTGGAACTTAGACAACGGCGAAAACTTGCCTGAGACTTGTGAGTTGGCTTGGTCAGTTTAGGACTCTCCAAATGTTAAGTTCAATGGTCCAATTTTACCTATTTCTAAGCCACAAGGTTTTGTGTCTTAGTTTCTGACACCAGGCTAAGTTGGTAAACTGTGTTCCCCTGGACTACTATATATTTTGCCTTACACTGTTAAATATGTTCTTGTATTACTTGCAATATTTTCAATTTCTTAAAAAAAAATAAAGACAAATAAATGGAAAAAAAATACTTGCAGCTTATTTCACCAAATCTCGGCTTATATTGTGGTTTCTGATACTGTGATTTTGGATCTTCATGTGAGATCTTTCCTCATTTTATCAAACTCATGATAGTACTCGGGTATTCTTTTTCTTTAGGTCTGTTTCTTCTAAGTTTTGATGACATCCTTCACAATGACAGTGCTTATCTGCATATTTTGTTCGTCTTAGCATCTGTTTTTCTTTTTTGTGGGTGCATATATTTAATCAACTACTATAATGGTCATGTCTTATGTTTCTCTGGGTTATTTCTTGGATGGATCTTGATCTTGTTTCGAAATCCTGTTGGTGTTGAACAGGATGCTACTAAAGGATACTTGAAGCTTTTGTTTGTTACTGCAGCTTGTGGTGATAATGTCCATGGGGAGGCATTCCAAAGGTTTATTCATTTAACAATTTCTATTCCTCTGTAAACTAATTCACATTATTTGGAAGATCTTGTTTTGCAATCTCTGATATATGCTCTAACCTGGCTGAAATTTTGTAGCACACGGGATCTTTCTTTGATTCTTGATGCACTTCTTAAAACAAAGTCACGGATGGTTTTGGTCGACATAGTGAACAAAAATGGTAGTGGCACTATTTCTTCTTGAATTGCATGCTGATTATCAATGCATTATCATAAATTTGAAGCAGACATGGTTTACTTGAACTAAGGTTGGCTTTCTGGAACTGCAGGTCTGCAAATGCTGCATAACATTATGAAACAGAACCGCAGAAATTTCAATAAAATTCCTATAATCCGGAAGCTTCTAAAGGTTGGTGTACTTTGTGGACTTGTATGCCGTTACAGGGTCTTCATATGTCAAAGTGAAATGAACATTTGAAGTCATAAGCAGTCATTTGAAATGAACATATGGCAAAGTGAAATGGACTTAATCAAATTGCATTCATTAAGCAGTCATAATATGCTAGGTGTTCTTTTTGGTCAGTCATCTGAGTTATTGCGACTTGTCGAATGTTCATATCATCTATGGGTCCTATTCTGAGCTTTTTTGCTCCTGAAATGTTATTTTTCTCTAGACCATTCAGTAAATGATTGCTTGAGATCGTTTTAGTTTACATCCATTTGTTACAAGTGCATCCCTTATTTCTGCAGGTACTAGAATATCTTGCTACAAAGGAAGTACTTACCTTGGAGCACATTAATTCAAGTCCTCCTCGTGCAGGAATTGAAAGGTGCATCTCTTGATTCTGCTTGTTGCTCTTTTGTGTTCTTTGGGACCTAATAAAGCCTGTTAATTCTTCAAAAATTCTCGTAGGGCATAAATGTCCGTTGGTGGTCAGTTTCTTCTAATGCTTATAGACACTAACAGTTTCTCTTTCCATTTGTCAATATCTAGCAAGTTGATGTTATTAGGGTTATGGGAATTATCAGCACTTGGTCGTTGACTGGGAACTTTAGATTATTGAGGCCTCGATAATAGAATATTCTTAATGCTTATTGTTGGTTGGGTCTATGGAACTGTTAGTTCTGGTCTTTGTAGAAAGGGGGAGCTTGGATAATGTAATGCTTTGTACAAGAAGTTTGATTCTTTTTTTAACCTGTGAGATTAGTTTTATTTTTCAGTTTATACATGTTGTAGTAAAAACTGCATTCTTTCTCATATGTATTTTTTTGTATCTTTTGTTGCTCTATATGAGTGTAAAGCTTCTTCTCTTCTACAGCCTTTTTTATATTCCCCCCCCCCTCCCAAAAAAAAAAGAAAAAAAAAAAAAAAAGCACGTTCTTTCTAACGATTGAAAGAAAGAAAAAGAAGTGCCTCCTTGCTTTCAGAAACCTTACATCATTTGGAGAAATAGGAGGGAATCCTTGGACTTTGAGATGTTTTTTCTTTTGTTATTTATGTACTTTATGCTGAAGTTCTTATTGAGTTGAACTATCTTGCTTTTAATTGTCGATTGTGTCAATGGGTATTTGTTTGATATTCTAATCCTGCAAACTGTGTTTTCAGTTTGAAGGAGTCAATACTTAAACTGACATGGCACAATGATGTCCAGGTACAATTTGTGCAGATCTAAATTCAATTAAATGACTGGCATTTATATAACAATTCTAATGTTTTTATCCTGTTCTTTCATGCAATCCATTTTCTCTAGTGTAGTTTCTTTTGAAGTGGGAAATCTAACACTGTAAATATGATTAGTTCTTGAGTTTGCTATGATATGTGTCAACTTGTTATACATCCCTAGTAGGAATGTTTTGTATCATAGGAATATTTTGTATCTTACACTTTGCATCTGCCATTGGCATGTATAGTATTTACTGCAATATGGTCTAATATTGGGCTTGTCTATGTACACTAGAAATTGTGAATGCAAGATTTCATTGTTACACACACGAGTGCAAGAATTCACTTTTTCCTTTTCCCAAATGTGGTTAGGAGTCTTAGGACCTGATATGTTCCAGAACCTTTGATATGGATGGTTTGATATTCCTTTTGTCAATTGGATTGTTCAGTAAGAGAGAGGATTTGAAAAGAGATACTATGGAAAGAAAAATTGATTATTTTTTTTAACTTGGTTCCTTCAGGTCCACCAAATAGCACGAAGCTTCCGAGACAAATGGATACCTCGCACGACCAGGAAAGCTAAGTACTCTGATCGGGAGGGTGCTGACTATCATCATCAGTCCAATGGTCGTAATGGCCACTGGAACCGTTTCCATAAACGTTGGCAGTCCCCAGCTTTAAGACATTCAGATGCAATTGAATGTAAATCTCGTGCATTGGAGCCTGTTCCCGTCTCCTCATCTCCTTCCCTCCCCAAAAATCCCCCTTCCCCTCCAGTGGTATGTGCTAACACAGACAAGCAGACTGATGCCACCCCATCGTCAACTACAACAAATGGGACAAGAAGGCGCAAAAGGAAAAGCCGATGGGATCAGCCAAAAGATGGTGAAGAGGAGCAGCCTTCTCTAAACACTGAACACCGTCAATGCAGTGAAGTGATGCCTGACCATCCACCAGGCGAAAAACTAGTTTCGAGTCTAGCTGAGAGTGTGCAGGCCCCATTAACAATTGAGAGCAGCAGTCATAGTACACTTGTACGAGCTGTTCCTTGCAGTGAGGGAGCTCACCTTGATGATGAGAAAGTTCCTCCTGGATTTTCTGTTCCCTCGGGCACCCAGACTGCATATCCAGAAGAGCAAAGATTTGAGTGTAATGCGCAGAAGAAATCATTTATTGGAAGTCAGTTGTGCCCCGCTGAACAACATAGTCCTCTGGGGTTTCAGTCCCCTCCCCTTCCCTCCCCATTCCCAAAAGAGCAACGACGACGGCATAACGATGCTGCGAAGTATCATAGTCATCCCTGTGATTATGATGAGCATTCAGTGCCTCCAGGTTTCCCGCCTCCCTCGTGCAATGCACAGGTGAACAGTTTGAGCCCAGTTGAGCAGGGTTGTGGCATGGCGAACAAGGGGTATGATGAACAAATACCTCCTGGTTTTCAGCCGCCCTTAAGCAGTCCACAAGTTGTTCCCACCCCTCCAAACTCAAGTGCTGTAGCTCTTGATCCACCAAGTTACCAACACAACAGTTGGGGAGTTAACCAACAGGGAACAACATGCATATCACCTTCTGTGCCATCGTCATTTCCTGGAGCGCCAAGGCCCCAAGCACCAAATTTCCAAACAAACCCCATTGGTAGTAGCATTGGTGGTGCACCACCTATGCCAACTCTGAATTGGTCACTCCCACCCCCTCGTCCTCCTCCTATGCCTTTTCAGCTTCTCCCCCCACCACCTCCTGGTCCTCCACCTCTACATCACATGGTCCGTCCACCATGCAGTGAAGAGATAATGCGGTCTCCTCAGTTTGTTCCACATGTGCTAGGACCTGCACCCAGCCAACCGGTGCCTATCAACCCTCCATTGCCACCTGGACCCCCGCCTGCGAGTGCAAGACCTGTGAGTGGGTCGTTCCCTTGTGGCTCCCATTCGCCACCACTTGCCCCTCAACCAATGCTAGCTGCCCCGTTCCAATGTATGCCACCCCCTACGAATCAACCAATGCCTCCATTCCATTGTCCACCTCCACCACCTCCACCTCCACCTCCACCTCCACCTCCACCTCCCAATCCTCCCATGATGCATGGGGATCCATTCCCAATGCAAAACCAGGCTACCATGCCTCCTCCCCCACTACCAAACACCTGTAATGCAGTGCCTCAGCGACAAAATCAGGCTCCTATGCAGCCGCCGCCGCCTCCGATAACCAATTGTAATGTCGTGCCAAATTCGAGAGAAGAGGGATCATCATCATATGCACCTCCACAACCTTGTGTTGGGGGAACTGCAACAGCGGGGGGCATGGGTAGGAGATGGGGTGGGCCACAGCATAGGTGTGATCATGTGCCCCCATGGCAGAGATCCAGGAACAACAACAATAGCAACAACCACCACAACAGTTGGTCAGCCAGGGGTTGTTCTAGGGGCGGGTTCAATGGTTTCAATGGGAAGTGTTTTAGGAAGGGTGGCAGTGGTGGTGGCAGCAGTGGGGCTAATAAGAATTTTTCTTCTACCCATCATCACCACCATCATTGAGTGAAACAGAGATCTGGTGTTAGCGTTCGTCTTGTATTCCCAATTCTTTTGCAGCATATATGGTGGGTCCCCATTGTTCTTTCTTTCATTCCTCTCTTTCTCACACACATTCAAATCACATGTTACCTCAATTTTCATAGTTTTGGGACTTCCATTCATCGTGGCACGCCAGATTGGATTCCATGGCTTGAGATAATGCTTAGAAGCTGGGAAGTGAAACCTCGTGCCAGTTGTATCCTATTTTTGTGTAGGTTTCACCCTTTAGAGGGCCAAATAGATGAAAAGAAAGTTACAGAAGTCCCAAAATAATTTTTGATTGTAGAGGAAATGGAAATGAAATCCTGGAATCTTGTGCCTGCCTCTGTTCCTTGGTCTTCAACGACCTCCTTGTGATTCGCTTGGTATGTTCGTCTTATTTTCTTTAGATTCCATTTTTTTTTTTTACCCAAACATGGTGGACGTGTTTCAGGAATTTCAAAGAAATTCTTGTGCAATATATGCCATACAGCGGTGGAAGTTTATATTTATTCGTTATTCATTGATACAGCAGAGTCCATTTGGTGAATTAGCTTAGCTCGCAGTAGAATTAACACACCTTTTGCAGCTTGTCACTTGAACACCTTCACTTTCTATGAAGAGGGAGAGAGGGCAATCTCAATATTACAGAG